AATGGTCAAATCCTTAAACATGTTAGAACCAGTTAGAATCAATCTGAGCTAATATTAGAGATGTTAGAATAGGTGGCAAATTCATGGGTAATAAAGGCATGAGGTTTAGATTAGATAAGTTAGGCAAGGAGAGGTTGGGTGACAGGGTAGGTAAGAGATTGATTTATCAGTATGAAAATGATAAATAACTACTTGACATATTATGGAAAACTGGACAAATTCGTATCTGTAGCGAAAGCCACGTAGATCAATATATGATCCATTAGTAAGCTAATATAATGCTAATACAATGCATGTGTATCATCCACTATGAACCTAACAGCCACACTTTACCATCTACTTAACTTCCCACTTCTATCATACCTAGTGTCATGGTGTTCATCTATGTATCTGTGTTAGTGCATCTGTGTGTGTATATGTCAGTGTGTGAATCTGTGTCAAGGTGTTTGTGTATCTGTGTGTTAGTGTATGTTTCTGTTTGTCAGGGTGGGCATGTGTCAGTATATATGTGCATCTTTGTGTCAGATTATGCATATTGTGTGCATCTCTCTGTGTGTATATGTCAGTGTGTGCATGTGTCAAGGTGTGTGTATCTGTGTGTCAGGTTGTGTGCATGTGTCAGTGTGTGCATCTGTCAAGTTGTGTGTCTGTTTGTGTGAGTGTGCCAAGGTGTGCAACTGTGAGTCAAGGTGTATGATAGTGTGTGCAGCCTGTGTCAGTATGCACATGAGTCAAGGTGTATTCATATGTCAGTGTGTATGTGTTGTGTTTTTATGTGTCAGTGTGTATATGATCTTGTGTGTATGTGTCAGTGTGTTTATGTGTGTGTGTGTGTATATATATATATATATATATATATATATCTGTGTAAGTATGTATATGGCAGTGTTAGTCTCCGTTCGGGGGTTCCTGTGCCAACGCCGATGAAGGCCCCCTAGCTCATAGGTAGCAATTGCTCCCCCCAGTCGGTAGTTCCTATCAGGGGGATGCTGGTCTGTTTGGCAAAACTAAATATAGATTTGAGCAACCCTAGGGAATGATACCAGGTCCGCCACACATACCCTTTCACCTAAACACCAATACTACACACAAATGTATATCTGAACGTAAAACAAAATATAAAATTGTGCAATATATATAGTGGTGCTATACAAATTCACAAGGAGAGTGCAGCTAGTCACCACCGTGCAATGAAACACACAATTTCACCATATAAATACAATGTATATAAAAAGAAGTGGGCAGCATACTAAGTCAAATGACTTGAAAGTGATAAAATCTTAAAACTGTGTGGATAAACAAGGATTTTGTAACATACACAGATAAAAAAAAAAAAACAACATATATATACACTGAACAAAATTATAAACACAACATTTTTGTTTTTGTCCACATTTTTCATGAGCTGAACTCAAAGATCTAAGACTTTTTCTATGTACACAAAAGCCCTATTTCTTTCAAATATTGTTCACAAACCTGTGTTATTGAGCACTTTATAATCCTCACAGGTGTAGCATATCAAGATGCAAAGGTGTGCCTTAGGCTGGCCACAGTAAAAGGCCACTCTAAAATGTGCAGTTTTACCACAAAGCACAATGTCACAGATGTTGCAAGTTCTGAGGGAGTATGCAATTGGCATGCTGACTGCAGGAATATCCACCAGAGCTTCTGCCCGTGAATTGAATGTTAATTTCTCTACCAAAGGCATTTCAGAACCGCAGACAATCGGTTTGCATAACCAAAGAATTTCTGCACAAACTGTCAGAAACCATCTCAGGGAAGCTCATCGGCATGCTCGTTGTCCTCATCGGAGTCTCGACCTGACTGCAGTTTGTTGTCGTAACCGACTTGATTGGGCAAATGCTCACATTCAATGGCATCTGGCACTTTGGAGAGGTGTTCTCTTCATGGATGAATCACGGTTTTCACTGTACAGGGCAGATGGCAGACAGCGTGTATGGCATTGTGTGGGTGAGTGGTTTTCTGATGTGAATGTTGTGGATCGAGTGACCCATGGTGTGGTGGGGTTATGGTATGGGCAGGCATATCTTATGGACAACAAACATAGGTGCATTTTATTTATGGCATTTTGGAAAGTAAAGTGCACAATAACACAGATTTAGACAAATTTGTGAACAATATTTGAGAGAAATAGGACTTTGGTCTACATAGAAAAAATCATTGAGTTCAGCTCATGAAAAATGGGGGCAAAATCAAAAGTGTTGCATTTATAATTTTGTTCAGTATATATATATATATATATATATATATATATATATACCGTTATACTGAAAAAAAAAAAAAACATACTTGCACATATACCAAATAAATGACTTCATAATAATGGCATTATTTATTTATTACACCCAACTCACATTTTCCAGAGCCTGTATGGTGTTGGCACAGGTATAACTGCATAAGTGTATTCAGTAAGGGTAAACAATCCAAGTTTATTAAGATAAATGTATAAAAATGCTTACATAATAAGTAGAGTGCATTCGAGTAATTCAAGTAATAATCTTGTGTCAACAAGAAGTCTTCATCAGGTGAATAACTCTAGTGGTGCCCCTCCATTTGGGTCATGTAACCTGGATTTAAAAGCCAACATTGCATCCAAACTCACCCCTGCAATCAAACACTAACATTACAAACACACACACACCCCTGTATTAAAATGCTAAAATATACAAACACCCCTTCATGCAAACACCAACACTACACACAAAAGCACACCTGCATTTAAAAATTAACACTTGATACAAACACACCTCTGAATCCAAGCGCACACACTCAATATATGCACACATACAAATGCACTAATATGTTTACTTACTGAACAGATTATTGTGAAAATCTGATATGGGGATCACACATTGTAGACTAAATTAACCAAATTGGGAAAATCTGCAACTATTATACCAGCTCAGTTTCAATTACTTATGAATTATCCAATATTTATTGCTAACCAGCTATAATGTTCACTAAAAAGTAAACTGAAAACAGGATAGTAAAATTCAGGCTAAAATACTCAAATTGTAACTACAGTGGTGAATTTTTTAAATTAGTAATTTAGTTTTCAGTTTATTGGAATGTACTCTTTAGTGAATAAATAACTTGTGTTTGTATTAGACTTCGAGGGGGCACAGGGCTTAAGTTTGCTTGGTGGCCAAGATTACTCTCAGTCCACCCCTGCCCACACCACTATTTTAAGGACTTCACTGTTTTTATGGAATTTTATTCCTCACTCATTTCGTCTTCCACCAACCCGTCAATCTTTTAAGAATGAATTGAAGGACCTTGCTAAAGTGATTTATGGATGAGGAGCATCCTAGTCAACAAGATAAAAGGCGGTTTCATTTGCCCTGAGCCATAGGTCATACTGACCTAACCTGTATCAAAGTGTGTTACATTATTTAAAATGAGTCATCTGACAGGTGACCTGGCATGCTGCACTCGTGATGTCCAGCTTTTATGATTGCCGAGGAAAGCTCCAGCGCGCACAGCTGTTTCCCCTCTTATAAATCTGAGCTATTGGTGCGCGTAAGTAAGTGGCAGAACATATTGCCTCCCTTCTATCCAGTGTTCCATTCACCTTCTCTCATTCTACCAAGCCCTATTGGGGAACCCTGTGGTGTGAGTGGCAACCTTATGGACCATGTGACTTTAGTGTTTGGTAAGTTCCATTACCGCTTGGCTTACACTTAGTAGTGCATATTATACATAATGAAACCAACATAACCAGTTAGAACAATAGTTAAACATACTGCTCCTGACCATTAAATTTTTATGCTATCTAACATACATAACTGCAACACTCCCTCACGTGTGTATATCCGGCAGTCAAGGGGTGTATGGAGCATGATCTTTAAGCATATTTACAGGTCACCTGAGCATTGTTATTTTTAACTAGCCATGGCAAAGTCCAGGACTAACTAGCTGTGTTTCTAACTAATTACATTGCTGGTACATCAGTAACTTGGATTGCTCAGTTGTACACCACTTAACCCTTTGGTAAACAGACTACTTTGTACTGTCTCATCTTAGCGTTTGTTGACCTTCAAAATAGTATTGCTTTTTTATGCATGTACAGCTGGCAGCCAAAGGAAATGTCTAGCATTATCCTTAGGGACAGGTACACATCATCTGAACATTCTTTGATAACCAGCACCAGTACTAATCAGAGCCATGACTACTTAATTAGACATATCTATGCTACTAAACTGAGTTCTTTATTATTAACTTGGTTAACTAATCGGCAAAATTTTCTAAGAATAAATTATCCTGGCTGTCTGCTGGAAAAGCGTATACATGACATCAGCGTAGAGAGTCACTGTAGTCTTCTCACTGGGCACGATGCCTCGGGAACCCAGCCATATGCCATTACAGATGGAGCTTGGTTGGGGAAGGGTGGGTTGGAGATGGCAAATTAGACACCCAGAACAGTCCCCATTCTCACAGCTTGGCGAGGCCCATCTCCGCTTCAAGGATTGGTATGATTCTTCCTCCCTGCCAGACCAGTAGCTTCGTGGGGTAGCCCCACCTGTAGGAAATATTGTGGTTATGAAGTGTTTTAGTCATATTGATGAACTCTCTGCACCAGGCCATCGTGGATGCCGACAGGTCTGAGAAGATGGTTATATGTTGGTATGGCTCTGGTAAGGTGGTAAGTTTCTGAGCGGGTGCTCTAACCATATATTTTGAGCGAAAGTAGTGGAATTGAGCAATTGTGTCTTTTGGGGTGTTGCTGGTAAAATGCTGCAGTTGTGGCAGGTGATGCACCTTATCAAAGAGCCATGCTGAATCTTATAGTTGCGGGACCAGAGTTTTACACAGTGCCTTGAGGTATGTTGATAGTTCCTCAGTTGTAACGTTGTTTCGCCATGAGTGATCATCTATATTGGCTATTTTGTGCCGTAGGACTGTTCCTCTTCCAGTTGCTGCAATTTATGGGCCATGCACAGCTCCTCCGCCTTTTGCTTAAGATGGGTTGTTCTGCTCAC